GGGGGGGCTGAGCTGTGAGTGTGTGCGCGCACACCCGTGTGCACGGCTCCGTGTGCCTGCGGGGGGGTGTGTGTGCGGGGGAGAGTGTGCACAAGTGTGTGTGTGTGTGCACAGTTCCGTGTGCAGGGGTATGTATGTGTGTGCACAAATCTGTGTGTGTGTGCTCAGCTCTGCGTTCAGGGGTATGTGTGTGCACAAATCTCTGTGTGTGTGCACAAATCTCTGTGTGTGTGCACGGCTCCGTGTGCACAAATCTGTGCGTGTGTGCTCAGCTCCGTGTGCAGGGCTGTGTGTGCACAAGTTTGGCTGTGTGCGCACAAGTTTTTGCGTGCTGTGTGTGCACGTCTCCGTGTGTAGGGGTGTGTGTGCACACGGCTGTGTGTGCACAGCTGTGTGTGTGTGCTGGGCTGCGTGCGCACAACTCTGTGTGTGCACGGCTGCGTGCAGAGGAATGTGTGTGCACAAAAGTGTGTGTGGAGGGGAGTGGCTTAAAGTGTGTGTGCACGGGTGCGTGTGTGGCTGTGTGAGTGTGTGCGTGCAAGTATGGACATGCGTGTGGTTTGTGTGTGTATCTGCATCAGCGCGTGTGAGTGTGCACTCTGTGTGTGCGCGTCTGCATTTGTGCGCTCTGTGCGTGCGCGCGACTTGCATTTGTGTGTTTGTGCGGTGTGGGCACGTGTGTGTGTGTGTGCGTGTGCTGGGGGCCGTGCACACCTCCGGGGCTGTGCTGCAGCCTGTGTAGGGTGAGGGGGTGCCCCAGGGTGTCCCCATCAGCGTTGGGGATAGTGAAGGGGTGCGGGGTGGGTGTGTGTGCAAGAATGTGTGGGTCCCTGAGGGCCGACAGGCTGCTGCTCCGGGGTGCTGCGTGGGTGGCCCTGGACCCCACCACCCTGGGGGTCCCTTTGCCCGTCTCCAGCCCCGGCGCCTAGGAAGAAGCTGGTGCGGGTTAAAGTTGTGAAGAAGAAAGTGGTGAAGAAGAAGCCAAAGGCTCCGGCCAAGGACTCAGCTGCTCCGCAGGAGCCTCGTACGTATGCTCAGCGCCAGGGGACGGGGCACGGGGACCTGCGGGGCCACACAGGCACACACGCGTGTGCACATGCCTCCGCGCTGTGCCCACACCTCCACACCACACACGTGCACCGAGTCCAGTGTGAGCTGGGTGCTTGGTGCTGGGGTGCACAGCCGCACACCTCAGCACGTGCACCCACGTATGTGGGGAATGGCCCCAGCCCTTTCCCCCCACTGGGGGGGATGCACAGCCGTCACCCTGGCTGGGCACATGCCGTCACACACACATGGCCCCCGCACTGTCACACATGCAGACCCACAACCGGCAATGCTGTGCACGCACCCGGAGTGTGACGGCACAGAAACACCCCCTGCAAACTGTGCACACGCATGCGCGTGCACACGCGTGTGTGGACACACATCCATCCTGCAGTAGGGGAGGGGGGTTGCTGGCAGGGCTCCCCCACACACATCTGCTGTCCTCCCTGCCCCTCTGCGCGACGGGGAGGGGGGTTTGCGTGACGCAGAGTGGGGTTTGCATGACACGGAGCAGGGTTTGCCTGACACGGAGCAGGATTTGCCCCGGCTGCGGTCGTGGCCGCGGCCACGGGGGCCTGGCTGCATTCCTGCGCCGGGGGCTGGAGCTTGGGGTCTCGCCCACGTGTTCGGGTCTGGCCCCGCAGAGCCTGGGAGCGGAGCCAGGGTGGGCAGCAGGCGGGGAGCCGGCGCAGGCAGGGCTGCTGCTCCTTGCCGGGTGGGCACATGTCCTGCGGCATGGCGTGACACGGCGTGGCATGGGACGTGCCAGGCATTGCCCCTGGGCTCACGGAGATGGGCAGCCCTTGGGGAGGGCCACCTGCGTGGGGGCAGCCGTGCGTGGGGGGTCTCTGAGCAAGCCCAGCCCCCTCTGCTCTGCCCCCAGAGTGCCCCCCCCTGGGGCTGGAGTCCCTGCGGGTGCTGGACTCCCAGCTCCGAGCCTCCAGCGACAAGCGCTATGGCCTGGGCGCCCACCGCGGGCGCCTCAACATCCAGGTAGGACACATGTGCGTGGAGTTTGTGCGATGTTTGGCACGTGCGTGGTGTGCGTGTGCTGTGTGCATGGCAAATGCAGTGTATGTATGGGGTGTGTGTGGCATATGTGTAGCAGGGGCTCTGCAGCATGGACCCTCCCATCCCACCGCGGCCGGTAGGAGCCAGGCCTGCCAGCAACACTACGTCCATCTCCATGTTGGATGGGGGGGCTCTGCCACAGCCCCTTGAAGCATCCCATTAAACCCCAGACTTGGTCCCCCGGCCAAGTAGCGCCCGTGCAGCTCAGAGCACCATCTCGGTGCCAGTGCCGTGCCACTGCCATGGGGGCACAGCAGGGCCGGGGGCACGCAGGCGGTGGGGACGTGTGCCAGGTAGGGTCCTGCGTCCCCTTCCCATCTCTGACACCCCCCACACCACCCACAGTCGGGGCTCTACGACGGGGACTTCTACGACGGTGGCTGGTGTGCAGGGCAGGAGGACACAGAGCAGTGGCTGGAGGTGGATGCCCGCCGGCTCACCAACTTCACCGGCGTCATCACGCAGGGGCTCAACTCCATCTGGACGTAAGGCGCTGGGCAGGGCCAGCCCTGGGGGGGCTGGGGGGTGCTCCAGGACCCCGCTGACCCTCTTCCCCACGCAGGTACGACTGGGTGACATCCTACAAAGTCCAGGTCAGCAATGACACACACACGTGGCAGCCGTGCCGCAACGGCACCGAGGAGGCGGTAGGTGCCTGCGGGATGCAGCCCTGGGCAGGGGCGGTGGGAGTGAGGACCTCCTGGCACCCCCAGCCCGCCCGGCTCCCCGAGCAGAGCAAGGGCACAGGGGATTAACCGTGCCAGGGGATTAATCGTGCCGGGGGGGTTAACCATGCTGGCTGGCGCTGGGCTGGGACCCGGCTCTGTTGCCTTTGGCGTCCCCACCCTTGAGCATCCTCCAGCGCTTCCCCCCACTGGGCACCAGGCACAAAGGCTGCTTGTCCCCGGCTGCTGCCCCAGCTGCCTGCCAGGCTCCCCCGGTGCCCACGTGTGAGCGCAGTGGGGGCACGGCGCTGCATGGCACGGCCGGCTGTGCCCAAAGGCGAACATGGCAGCCTGGTGCTCAGGTGCATGCCTGTGAGTGCTGTGCACGCAGGGTCACACGTGTGTGCGAGGACAGAGGGGGCGTGCAAGCACGCCGGTGTGTACACACGTGTGTGTGGGGAGGCCTGAGAAGTGGGGGCTGCTGGGGCTAGGACCTGCCAGAGCCGGCCACGCTGTTCCCATGGCCAGCCCAGGCACCAGTGCTCGGGGTCCCTGTGCCAGGGCCGTGCCGGGGCGGGTCTGGGGGGTCCCTGTGCAGGCGGCGGGTCTGGGGGTCCCTGTGCCAGGGCCGTGCCAGGGTCGGGTTTGGGGCTCCTTGTGCTCATTCCTGGGGACCGTCCTGGGACCCTCCCCTCTGGGTGCTGGGGTGATGGGTTTGGGGGGCAGAGCAGCAGCACGGGCGCCCCAGGCCCTGTGGCACTGTTGGGGCTCTGGTTCCTCTGCGGTGCCGGGCTCAGCCCTCCCCCCCCAGTCAGCCCTGTGTCTGCTCCTCATTAGGGGCTGGAGGGTGGCCAGGGGAGGCCAGGGCTGGATGTGGCTGCGGCGCCTGTAACCCTTTGGGCCCTGGTGCACAGCTCTGCTGCAGCAGTCTCCTGTCCCCACAGCCCCCAGACGGGTCCCCCCCCCGGCACAGGGACTCACAGGGGCTGCATCCATCCATCCCCCCCTCCCAGGTCTTCCCCGGGAACAAGGACCCTGAGACGCCGGTGCTCAACCTGCTGCCCTCGCCGGTGGTGGCACGTTACCTGCGCATCAACCCCCAGACCTGGTTCCAGAACGGCACTATCTGCCTGCGGGCAGAGGTCCTGGGCTGCCCGCTGCCAGGTGGGTGCCCGCTGCCTGCTGCCCCTCGCCCCGACCCACGAGTGCCTGGGATGGGCACGCTCTGCCAGGGCCGACCCCAGGGCTGGGGTCCGGATTGTTCCCACGTCCCAGGATCTGTGACTGTGTCCCCCCCTTGTCCCCTCTGTGCCTGCCTGGCTCCCTGCAGACCCGAACAACATCTACGCCTGGCAGAGCCAGCCCCTGCCCACTGACAAGCTGGATTTCCGCCATCACAACTACAAGGAGATGAGAAAGGTGCCTGCCCTGCAGCCCTGGCGTGGGCAGGGGGGGGTTCACACCCCTGCGGGCACCCCGGCATGGGGTAGGGGGTCTTTGCACCCCCGGGGTGCCTGCAGACCCTGACCTGGAGCACTGTGCCCTCTCCAGCTGATGAAGCGGGTGAATGACGAGTGCCCTGACATCACCCGCGTCTACAGCATCGGGAAGAGCTACCTCGGCCTCAAGATGTACGTCATGGAGATCTCCGACAACCCTGGGCAGCACGAAGTGGGTAGGTGCCCTGCGGCTCTGGGGCAGGGAGGGGAGGTGACAGCTGGGGTGGCCAGGGACATCCAGGCTGGTGCAGGATGGGGACGGGGTGGCCGGGGATGCCCAAGCTGGTGTGGGCAGATGGGGGACAGGGTCACCGGGGATGCCCAGGCTGGCATGGGGCATAGAGGACCAGGGCAGCCGGGGCCCCCGCTGCCACAACGCGCTGTGCCCCACAGGCGAGCCGGAGTTCCGTTACGTGGCGGGGATGCACGGCAATGAGGTGCTGGGCCGGGAGCTGCTGCTCAACCTGATGGAGTACCTGTGCCGGGAGTTTCGGCTGGGCAACCCCCGCGTGGTGCAGCTGGTCACCGAGACCCGCATCCACCTCCTGCCCTCCATGAACCCCGACGGCTACGAGACCGCCTACAAGCTGGTAGGGTCGGGCTGCCCGGCCCCGGGGTGCTGAGCACCGACCCGCCGCGGGGCGGTCCTGGTGCCAGTCCCCAGTGACCCCGTTCCCCCGGGGCAGGGCTCAGAGCTGTCGGGCTGGGCCATGGGCCGCTGGACCTACGAGGGCATCGACCTCAACCACAACTTCGCCGACCTCAACACAGCACTGTGGGATGCTGAGGACAATGACCTGGTGCCCCACGAGTTCCCCAACCATTACATCCCCATCCCCGAGTACTACACCTTCGCCAACGCCACGGTGAGCCCGGCCCCCCGGGCACCCCGAAACCCACCCCTCCTCCTGCCCCAGTGCGCCTGGGTGATGCCCACCTGTGGACGGGCTGTGCCGGGGACAGACCCCTGGGGTCTCGGCCGTGCGCCCTAAAGAGCGGGCAATGGGAGCCTTTCCCCCAGCCCAGTGGGGGGTTCATCGCTGGGACCCGCCACGGCCCCCTCTGACATGGGGTCCCCCCCCAGGTGGCCCCCGAGACACGGGCAGTGATCGACTGGATGCAGCGGTACCCCTTCGTGCTGAGTGCCAACCTGCACGGCGGGGAGCTGGTGGTCACCTACCCCTTCGACATGACCCGCACTTACTGGAAGGCGCAGGAGCTGACCCCGACCGCCGACGATGGGGTCTTCCGCTGGCTGGCCACTGTCTACGCCACCTCCAACCTGGCCATGGCCAGCGAGGAGCGGCGACTCTGCCACTACGATGACTTCACCCGCTTCGGCAACATCATCAACGGGGCCAACTGGCACACGGTGCCTGGCAGTGAGTGGGGGGCTGGGGCAGGTGGGAGGGGTGGTGGTGGCTGGGGACCCCCCTGACACCCCCACCCCATCCTGCACAGGCATGAATGACTTCAGCTACCTGCACACTAACTGCTTCGAGATCACGGTGGAGCTCTCCTGCGACAAATTCCCGCATGCCTCCGAGCTGCCAGCCGAGTGGGAGAACAACCGGGAGTCCCTGCTGCTCTACATGGAGCAGGTCAGGGATGAGGACCCCCCCCCGGGTGACACCATGGTCCTGGGGGGCGACACACACACATGCTGTGGGGTCCCACAGTGGATGTGGGCACTGAGGGGTCGGGGTTTCAGCAGGGGCCGAGCAGATGGCAGCAGGACACAGCTCAGGGGGGGTCCTCAAACACCCCCAAAGCTCCATGTCCCCCTGCACCCCCTCCCCAGGCGTGGAGCATGGGCTTGGCATGTGAGGCGTGTGTGTGACCTGCAGCACGTGTGTGCTCCATGCTGGGGGGGGGGGGGGCCGTGCCCC